TGCTGAACCCACCCGGCTATGGGGTGGTAAGAACCTGAACTGGGCTGTGCCTTTAAAATAGAAGGACTCTTAAGAAGCAGACCCAAGAGATGTTGTAATGCATCAGAAGGCTGTGAGTTGACTCACAGTTTTCAGCCTGGGAAGAAAACTGGAAAAGTAATGGTTTCACTGTTACTCAAGAAGTAACTAACAAGAAATATGTCCTATAGAAGATCAAAGAAGTGCATTTTAGAAATATTGTGTTTTATATTTGTGTTGCTTGATCACACAGGGGGAAAGAGCCTGGAGAAAATACATGAAATGAGACGCAGGATTGGGGAGAGAGTTCGAGGTTGATGCCAAAGTCCATTCCCTTACTACTCTTTCCTCTTTAGAAAACTGCAGATTACTTATGGTAATAGCTTGAATTTTGGGAAAACTCAGCAAACACTGTTGACCAATTTTTATTGCCTAATAGTCTTTTCATGTCAAAGAATGACTTCTCAGAGTTCCCTTATGAGCCTAGCTGGACTCAAATTAAAAAAAAAAAAAAATGCAGCTGGAGGCCATCCTCCAAGGTCCAGAATCACAAAGCGGCAATCTCCAGTTTACAGACTTATTTGGACCGCAGCACAGGATGGGAGGTGAAAATCCGATCTAAGGTCAAATAACCTACAAAGTGGGAATAAAACTCAGCCCCTTGCATCATAACTGCCCCAGCCAGGGCTCTCCTCTCATTCCAAGTATCTCTTTTCTTCATTGACTGAGCTGGTTGTACTAAGGAACTAAAAAAATCCCTCCAAATGCTCTGCTTCCAACAGGCCCACACGTCAAAGGGAACAATGAAGACATTTGGTCCCTGCAGGTACTGTGACCACGGTAGCGCCACGGGCGGGGTTCCCGGATGTGAGGTTCCCGAATGTGGCTTCACGTCTCTCAGTAAGGAGAAGGCTCTGAGACGATGCTTCTCCAACGTTAAAAATCACCTGGAGCGCATGTTAAATCCTAGACTGCTGGGTCCACCCTGAGATGCTGATTTAAGTAAGACCCGGGAAGGACCAGAGAATTTGCATTTCTAACAAGCTCCCTGAGGATGCTGGCGCGGCCCCTCCCCACTCCCGGAGACCTATTCGAGGCCTGACACGGAACCAGGGAAGCCTCGAGCTGGAAGACTTTAGTGGGTGCCTCATTTTAAGTGATGTAAGTGGCTTAGACGGCTTCCAAGGCTGTAAGGTGGGCAGAGGGGAAGAGGAAGCACTGATTTCCTACTTTTACTCTCATGGATTTTCTGCTTCACTCCCACTTCTAAGTGCTTCCCGTGTAGCAAC